CCCATCACATTTTCAGGCCAAAATGCCAAAAAAAAAAAAAAAAAAACGGTCCTGAAATGGTCCCGTGGTCAACTAGGGGGCGCTCCGTCATCCTCAAGATAGTGTAGATCCAAGCTGGACCTTTAGAAGGCGCTGTTCGCAAGTTTAGTAGGGAAGCAGACAAATAATCCCCCCCACTGACTACATGCATCTAGTGGGCAAATGGGACGTTTAGTAGGGATTTGGCCGTAAAACACCAATTTAGTGGGCAAATGGACATTTAAGAGGTAAGCGGGACCAGTCATTCTAGAGATTGATAGGTAAATGGATATTTAGGAGGTAAGTGGGACTGGTCACTAGTACGCTAGCATGATAGCGTCTACTACCCATTTAGAGTCTTTGCTTTGTGACCGGATGCCCTTTGGTGCGGTTACTGAAGCTAACAAAGAGTTCCGACCATCTGAAGGTGGCGGAACGCTCAATGTAAATTCTTAGAGCTCTGATGGGGCAGAGCAGGGATAACTCTCTGTCCTCTTCAGAGGGAGGAAGCACAGAAAGTGCAATGACCTGTGCTCTGAATGGAGTGGAGAGCACCTTGGGTACGTAACCATGCCTTGGCTTCAGAACGACCTTAGAGTCGTTAGGCCCGAATTCTGGAATTCCAGGCAGGCAGGGCTAATGGAAAGCACCTGCAGGTCTCCTATTCGCTTTACCGATGCTAGTACCAGAAGCAGAGCAGTCTTCAGCGACAGTGACCGAATGTTGGTAGACTGTAGTGGTTCAAAAGGGGGGCCCTTCAGGGCCCTCGGCACAGTGGGCAGATCCCATGAAGGGACATTTAGGGGGCGAGGCGGATTCAGCCTCCTGGCACCCCTCAAGAAGCGGACAACCGCGCTGTTCCTACCCACCGATTGACCCGCAAATAAACCTTGAGAGTGGATGGGGAGCGTCCCTTATCCAGCAGCTCTTGCAGGAATGACAACAGCACTGACAGATCGGAAGTAGAAGGGTCTTCACCGCAGTTTAGGCACCAAGTGGAGAAAATAGACCACTTAAGGGCGTAGAGGCATCTCGTAGACATGGCTCTAGCCTCCAAAATCGTGTTTAAAACTCGCTCTGGGAGGCTTGAAGGCTCCCGTTGAGCAGCCAGAGGTGTAGGGCCCACAAATCGGGTCGAGGGTGCCATATTTTCCCGTCTGCTTGATAGAGGAGATCTTTTCTCAACGGAATGGGCCAAGGGGCCGCTACCAACAGCTGAGTCAGCTCTGATAGCCACAGTTGGTTCTTCCAGAGAGGGGCCACCAGGAGAACCTTGTGTCTTTGTTCCCTGATTCGCCTGATTACCTGTTGGGATCAGGGCGATTGAGGGAAATGCATAAAGAAGGAGGTTGGGCCAATCGTGGGCCAATGCGTCCCTGGTCTTCGAATAATAAACTGGGCAGTGAGAGTTGTCATCTGAGGCAACTTCTTCTGAGAGTTGTCTTCTGAGAGCTGTCTTACCTCGGCCTCGCCGAAGATCTCCCAGATTCTCTGAACCGTCTGCGGATGGAGCGTCCACTCCTCTGAGGGGACATTGCTCCTTGATGACATGTCCACTCCTTGATTCAATTTGCCCGGTATATGCACCGCTCTCAGCGAGCACAGATTGAGTTGACCTTTATTTATATAGCGCTTTTAACAATACAGATTGTGTCAAAGCAACTGAACAGCATTAATTAGGAAAACAGTGTGTCAATAATGCAAAATGACAATAGTAAACACTAATTTTTCAGTTAAAGACAGTTCATCATTGAATTCAGTGATGTCAACATCCAGCTCAGTTCAGTTTAAATAGTATCTTTGCAATCATTTGCAATCAAGTCAACGATATCGCTGGAAATGAAGTGTCCCCAGAAGAGGCGCTACGAGGAGAGGCCTCCTTGGCAATTTATGTAGGACACCACCAACATGTTGTCCGATCGGATTAGCACATGGTGCCCCTTTAGGACTGGCAGGAAGAACTGACAGGCTCGACACACTGCTAGCATTTCCAAGCAGTTGATGTGGAAGCCTTTTTCCGCCTTCGACCAATGGCCGAAAGTCGGTATGCCCTCGCACAGCACCCCCCAACCTGCGTTGGAGGCATCTGTCATGACAACTTTTCTCCTGCAAACCATTCCCATGGCCACGCCCTGTTCCATCCAGTGAGAGTTCTTCCAAGGTGCCAGGGCTGTTATACAGGCCTGGTTAACCCTGATATGTAGGGTCCGTGACGCCACGCATGGGATGGAACCCACAGTTTCAGCCAGCAGCAAGACCCTTGCACCTCCGTGAAGTTGGCCCCCCACCCAACGCAAAACGTCGCAAAAGTAGTCTTAATCGTTTGTGCTCCGTTTTGTGCTGGTTTGTGCTGTAAAAATGTTCGTTTGTGCTGCTTTGGTTTGTTAGATATAAAATCTAATAAAAAAAAAAAAAAGGTCATTCTCAGGTCACTCAGCCCCCCCACATGCTCCAAATTCACCCCAAATAGTCTCGTTTGTTTGTGCTTCGTTTGTGCTGGTTTGTGCCAGTAAAAATTTCGTTTGTGCTACTTTGTTTTTTAAAATATTAAAAATTATATTTTAGGCGATGATGTCACCAGCCCCCCTACATGCTTCAAACTCACCCAAAATAGTCTCAATCGTTAGTGCTTCGTTTGTGCTGGTTTGTGCCGTAACTATTTCCGTTTGTGCTGCTTCAATTTTTAAAATATTAAACATTATATTTTAGGCGATGACGTCACCAGCCCCCCTACACGCTCCAAACTCACCCAAAATAGTCTCAATCGTTAGTGCTTCGTTTGTGCTGGTTTGTGCCGTAACAATTTTCGTTTGTGCTGTTTCAGTTTTTAAAATATTAGACATTGAATTTTAGGGTCGATGACATCACCAGCCCTCCACACGCTCCAAATTTACCCCAAATACCTGTGTTTGTTTGTGATCCGTTTCTGCTGGTTTGTGCCGTAAAAAAAATAATTTGTGCTGCTTTGGTTTTTAAGATATTAAAATAATATTTAATGATGTTTTTCTGAGGTCACTCAGCCCCCCCACATGCTCCAAATTCACCCGAAATAATCTTGTTTGTTTGTGCTTCGTTTGTGCTGGTTTGTGCAGGTAAAAGTTTTGTTTGTGCTGCTTTGGTTTTTAAAATAGTAGACATTACTTTAAAGGCAATGACGTCACCAGCCCCCCAACACGCTCCAAACTCACCCAAAATAGTCTCAATCGTTAGTGCTTCGTTTGTGCTGGTTTGTGCCGTAACAGTTTTCGTTTGTGCTGCTTCAGTTTTTTAAATATTAAACATTACATTTTAGGCGATGACGTCACCAGCCCTCCTACACGCTCCAAACTCACCCAAAATAGTCTCAATCATTTGTGCTTCATTTGTGCTGGTTTGTGCCGTAACAATTTTTGTTTGTGCTGCTTCAGTTTTTTAAATATTAAACATTATATTTTAGGCGATGATGTCACCAGCCCCCCTACACGCTCCAAACTCACCCAAAATAGTCTCAATCGTCAGTGCTTCGTTTGTGCTGGTTTGTGCCGGGTAGAAGTTTCGTTTTTGCGGCTGTGTTTTTTTGTTACAGTTAAAGTAACAAGGTAAGATCCAAGCGGATACTAGTTAAGTTACCTATCGACTGTTTCCAACTTATAACAGACACAGCGGATCACAGGATAAGTGGAATGTAACACCAACTCCAAGGTAAATGTTTTTACTTGTTACTGTGTGTCATTACGTGAATGTCATAAATACACGCACCATAATATGTTTGCTGTATCTCTGTGTTTATACATACATAAGCTATATGTGTGTGTGTGTATGTCTTAATCGTTAGTGCTTCGTTTGTGCTGGTTTGTGCCGGGTAGAAGTTTCGTTTTTGCGGCTGTGTTTTTTTGTTACAGTTAAAGTAACAAGGTAAGATCCAAGCGGATACTAGTTAAGTTACCTATCGACTGTTTCCAACTTATAACAGACACAGCGGATGCCCTTTGTGGTGATGGTTTCCACTAGCTGGAGGAGGTTGTTGGAGTCCTCACCACAAACAAAATTTGCAAAGGTGACACTATCACAGAAAGCACAACATAAGCATTGACAAAAAGCATCAAATGCACATGTGTTCAGCACAGAGATTCTTGATTTCCTGAGTTTAACAGGCTGTTGATTATTTCCATTTTTCAACAGTTCCACTTTCAGTCTTTTCCCCCTCACAGATGGATCTGCATGGAGCCATTCAGGACAAGGAGAGAGGTATGAATTCCTCTTTCTCTTTTTGGGTGGAAGAGCTAGGCCTCTCCAGTTTTCAACAGGGTCTTCATCTGTTGGATGGATGATTGTGACAATGTCAGACTTCCCAGAACAGGAAGCATCCATTTCTGGTTTTACACCTTCACTGCAAGTTATGGTTGGTAGAGGATTGGCTTCTTTGATGATCACTGTTGCAACAGCTGCATCTTCTTCACCTTTTTCGTTACTTTTTTGTTTTGCAGAACAAATGCGCATGTTGCCTTCAATGAAGTACAGATGTCGAGCAATGAATCAATCCACCCGATTCGGCAAGTTTTCATGCTTGAAAAGGCCATGTTTAATGTTTTTGACTTGCGATGATATTGGTGCTTCGGAACTGAGGGATCCTTACCCCTGTCCAGAGTGGTAAGTAGCTTGCAAGCCAGATTATATTGGGAATAATCTCAGGGAGGAAGTGCATATTATCATGATCTCCATTAGCCACAGCAAGTGACCTGCTTTCCTCACATATTTCTGTCACCCACTGCCGTAGGTCTGTCTGCGTTTGGTCACCCACCCACTGCGTTTGATCTGCTTTTTCCAGGTCCTCACCCTCTACATCTGGAATGATGACACACTCTTCTGCAATTCGGGCTTTCAGGTATTTCTTGCACCTTTCTGATATGAGGGGGACTCCAGAACTGTCATTGCCCTCTGTTTCACTGAGAGCCACAACAGTAATGCTGTGTAGTAGCTCTCTAGCATCGTCTATGGATTGTGACTTTAGAAGCTGTGCCATTGACCTCACAAATAAATCTTTAATGCGATGTGCTTTTTTCTTCAAGCAGTCCCACTGGCAGATCATCTTGATGCAGTGTGCAACATCAACGCGAACAAAACAAGGTGGCACTTTTGCAGACTGATTACCAAGTAAGACGCCACAACACACATTGATGTAGGTCTTCAGATCAAGATGAGGAGTGAAAGCTTTGACCAAAGCTCCGAGCAAAGCCAGTGAAAAGTCACTTACAACCTCTTTTGGAGTTGGTGCACCTGCACGTATCCATTCTGTCAGCCAATGTGTTATTGCATTAACATCATGTCTCTCTGACAGCATTTGCACGACTGGGACACTTGAGCTTTCATTACCTGCCAGAACGCCCTGATATAAGAAGACATGGCCAGACATGCCGTTTGGTCTCTGTAGTTTCCTCACTACTGAGCCAGTTGCATCAAAACTCACAGTGGGGTTAGTAGATGTCTTTGATAATGACTTGTACATATACATTTGTGTTTGACTCCAATAGTGACAGAAAAACTTGTCCAATCCAATGTCTTTAATTCTACCACTGTGAGGTGCGCTGTATTTTAACATCTGCAGTGACAAAATAGGATCCTTGTCATCTAATTCTAAGGCATTTCTTTCTTGCTTTGCTTTGCGTAGGGTGGCCAAAATAGGCTGATGGCTTGGCTCAGGATCTCCAAAATCCATCAGCTTCTTTGCCTCCAATGCCCTCCATACATGGGATTCCATTCTACCCTCCACAGTTCTTTGGATATCTGCACACGCAAGTTACCAGACATCGGACGCTTGGAACAGCCAGTGTGCAGGGAGTCATCTGTGTTCTTAATGAAACACTTTAGCACCATTGGGCTGTTCATTTCAGGCTCTCTGTCACATTTTATGAGAATGTGGCCATGACACTCCTTACACTTGCCTCTGATTTCTATATATTTCTCTGTGGCTGATGGATAGACCTTGGCTCTTTTAAAGGCAAATGTGCAGGGGCTTTTCACTTCTTGCCAAATGTGATGATTTATCCATTGCGTCCAGATGCCAGGCTTCAAAATTGTGTATTCCTTTTTTGTGTTTTAGAGAACTTGTTTTTGTATTGAACTGTTTGAGGCATAAATTCAATCCATTTCTGAAATGGAACTTCAAGATCAAAAGTCCAGCAATCTTTTGGTCTGGGGGAAAGGGATCCTGGCTCAAAATCAGTGTCATCACTACTGCCACTTGTTTCATTATCACTTTCATGAGTAAACCCTAAAGCAGTCCAGATGTTGTGTCTGTTTAATTTAACAAAAGTATATAGAGCCTTTGCGGTGATCTTGTTCTCTAGCTGCTTACTAAGCTCTGTCCAGATGTTCTGATTAGGAGTAGCTATGTTGCCATTTTTGACTATGGCCTCTTTTGATGAACACAGGACTGTGAAAATGGAATCCCTGTCGACTGCTGGTTTCTTGGGCATCTGGCATAAGCAAAACATAATTACTCACTTAAATAATCCTGACTCCAAAAATGTCATGTATAGGATAAACCTGCATTACTGTATTGGTCCAAATATAAGGATAATATAGTAATAATAATATATAATGACGTTATATCTTATATTACTAACAATACGGTAATGTTGATCCCTAAATGCACAACATATTCTAAAAACTAACATGGGTCATATGTGCAACTGTAATTGGCATGTAATTGCTAGTGATATGAATGATATAAGTATTAGCAATGAGTTTTCTGTTCAATAAACATTGACAATATTAGCGCACTTGAATGCTGTACCATTGTTCTTGAAGTTACCCTTACAAAAATTAACCATTGTTTTAGTATATTAAAAGTGTAGTAACCAAGTTTTTTTTTGGCATATTCATTACCATTTGTATAAAAGTTTTACTACAAATATCATGGTTAAACTATGTTTAGTGCAGCAAAACCATGGTTAATTTATGGTTACCATGGTTTAACTGTAGTAACCATGGTTTTATCTAACTCAATTTCCACAAGAGCATCTTGAACAGAAGTGTCACCTCATGGTGGGAATTAAGTGTATCAGATGATACTCTTTGTAAATAAGTTCAATCAGGTGAGAACAAAAGCGTTGAAGTTACATAAAGCTACGACTTGATGGCGCTCGCGCACAAAACCATTTTAAGTGAGAGAAAGTGACAGAAAAAGAGTCTGACAGCAGATGAATATTGAAATTCTTTTAATAAACACCACAATGTCTACAAAAAACATTGATCAAAAGTTGTTGTTCTATTAAAACCACTACAATCCAACAATTTGGTAAGAAATTGAATAAGCGAGGAACCCAGAATAAAATGCTAAATAAAAGCAAAATAAAAAGCAGCACAAACGAAAATTGTTACGGCACAAACCAGCACAAACGAAGCACTAACGATTGAGACTATTTTGGGTAAATTTGGAGCGTGTGGGGGGCTGGTGACGTCATCGACCCTAAAATTCAATGTCTAATATTTTAAAAACTGAAGCAGCATAAACGAAAACTGTTACGGCACAAACCAGCACAAACGAAGCACTACTGATTGAGACTATTTTGGGTGAGTTTGAAGCATGTAGGGGGGCTGGTGACGTCATCGCCTAAAATATAATGTTTAATATTTTAAAAAACAAAGTAGCACAAACAAAAATTTTACCGGCAAAAACGAAGCACAAACAAACGAGACTCTTTGGGGTGAATTTGGAGCATGTGGGGGGGCTGAGTGACCTGAGAATGACCTTTAAATATATATTTTATATCTAACAAACCAAAGCAGCACAAACTAAAATGTTTACAGCACAAACCAGCACAAACGGAGCACAAACGTTGCGTTGGGTGAGGGGCCAACTTCACGGAGGTCTCCATTTTTGTTAATAATATTCTCCCAAAAATTGAAATATTTCTTTGTAACCAGATATCCATTATTATATACATATTTTTTGTACAACTGCCAGATTACTTAGAAGTTACTCTGCTACATCTACGCCATGGAAATCATCCCATTGAAGACTATGTGGAGGAGTTTTGTGGGCCATGCTACAAGGTGGGATTCAATGATGTGACATTTTCTGGAATGGATTAAGTGACTTCAATATATTGACTATGCCCTGTTGCTGTGGGACTTGCAGATGTGGGACTACAGATCCCAAGCACCGATAGCTGTGGAGCTTGGTCCACCTTACCATTGCCATCCTGGTCCATGCGCTCACTAATCTGGTGGCCTTAGATCAGTTGGTCCGGTGGTCCTGGAGGTCATTCCACTGTCCACAGTGTTCCTGGTAATGGTCACTGCTATCCTTTGTGTTTGGGTTGCGCACACTTCTTCAGAGGTGGCAACATCTGCTACAACTCCCCCACATGAGACGTCTGCTTGCTCTGTAATGGCCAAGGAGGCCACCCATTAACTCCCTGTGCTCCATGTCATGGCCATGGAGGCCATCCACACCCACAACTGTTAAATCCGGGCTCACACTACAGGTGTTTTAGGCTGATTTATCCCTGATTTTCCCCTCCCGAGAATCAGAGAAAAAATCTGTGTGCGAGCAGACCTCCCGATCTGCTCGCACACAAATTGGTTCAGCCCCAATCATATCAAACATGTTTGATATTTAGGATTTTAAGTCGGGATGATCACTGCTATGATTACATCAGTACTTTCACAATAGCCAATGCGCAACTGCAAAACAAGCTGCTGTATGGGTCCGTTGGATAGTGAAGATGGAGGAAACTGCTTCTGAAAGTTTTGCAATAACATGACTGTCTGTATATTGTGTTGAAAATGCACCACAGCCGTAAGGACAAAGAGAAGCAATGGGTAAATCTCCTAAGTTTTGAATGTACTGGGTGAGTGTAGAAAGCTGCTAACATACAGTATGTAAATATTAGGCTTGTTGCGAGATGCATCGGCGCTGCACAAACCAATTGGTGTATGACATCCCTTACGATAATGAACAACGGTTTTATTCAAGTAAATAATTTATTATTGTAATTTGTAATAATTTATTCAAGTACACTACGGTGTAGTAACCATGTTTATTTGGCATATTCATTACCATTTGTATAAAAGTTTTACTACAAATATCATGGTTAAACTATGTTTAGTGCAGCAAAACCATGGTTAATTTATGGTTACCATGGTTTTATTTGTAGTAACACCATGGTTAATTTTCATAAGGGTAACTAATAATATTGTGAACTGACACTGTTAAAACATTGTACTTACATTGGCCAGAAATTTGAGTTTGTAACTGTATCAACTTTTCCTCTACTAACTCAATTTCCACAAGAGCATCTTGAACAGAAGTGTCACCTCGTGGTGGGAATGAAGTGTATCAGATGATACTCTTTGTAAATAAGTTCAATCAGGTGAGAACAAAAGCGCTGAAGTTACATAAAGCTACGACTTGATGGCGCTCGCGCACAAAACCATTTTAAGTGAGAGAAAGTGACAGAAAAAGAGTCTGACAACAGATGAATATTGAGATGCTTTTAATAAACACCACAACGACTACAAAAAACATTGATAAAAAGTTGTTGTTCTATTAAAATATCACTATAATCCAACAATTTGGTAAGAAATTGAATAAGCGAGGAACCCAAAATAAAATGCTAAATAAAAGCAAAATAAAAAGCAGCACAAACGAAAATTGTTATGGCACAAACCAGCACAAACGAAGCACTAACGATTGAGACTATTTTGGGTAAATTTGGAGCGTGTGGGGGGCTGGTGACGTCATCGACCCTAAAATTCAATGTCTAATATTTTAAAAACTGAAGCAGCATAAACGAAAACTGTTACGGCACAAACCAGCACAAACGAAGCACTACTGATTGAGACTATTTTGGGTGAGTTTGAAGCATGTAGGGGGGCTGGTGACGTCATCGCCTAAAATATAATGTTTAATATTTTAAAAAACAAAGTAGCACAAACAAAAATTTTACCGGCAAAAACGAAGCACAAACAAACGAGACTCTTTGGGGTGAATTTGGAGCATGTGGGGGGGCTGAGTGACCTGAGAATGACCTTTAAATATATATTTTATATCTAACAAACGAAATTTTTTACAGCACAAATGGAGCACAAGCGATTGAGACTATTTTTGTGACGTTTTGCGTTGGGCGGGGGGCCAACTTCACGGAGGTGACCCTTGCGTTGACGATGCTGCGGCCATGAGGCCCAGCATCCTCTGAAACGTTTTGAGAGGGTGAGTGGCACCGATCTCGAAGGAGGCCGCCAGTCTCCGTATGGCCAGAGCCCATTCCGGCGCGACTAGAGCTCTCATTTGAGCTAAGTCAAAAATTGTTCCCAGGAACGATATTCGCTAGCTGGGGAACAACGTGCTCTTGGCGAAATTGACCCTGAGTCCCAGGCACTCTAGGTGGCTGAGGAGGAGGGTCCTCTGTGATATTAA